CATGTCTGAATCAGAAAGGATCCGTTACTCGGATTCTCAACTCAGTCTCACCAGTCTCAGACCTCACCGACGACAAAACCAAACCTTTTTCACCGGAGATAATCGGAAAAAGAACCGATCTGAAGAAGATTCTAATCCTCGGTGCTGGTCCGATTGTGATTGGACAAGCTTGTGAGTTTGATTACTCAGGAACACAAGCTTGTAAAGCGTTAAGGGAAGAAGGTTACGAGGTTATTCTTATCAATTCGAATCCAGCCACTATCATGACCGACCCAGAAACCGCTAATCGGACTTATATTGCTCCGATGACTCCTGACCTCGTTGAACAAGTTATTGAGAAGGAGAGACCTGACGCTTTGTTACCGACCATGGGAGGCCAAACCGCATTGAATCTCGCGGTTGCTCTAGCTGAGAGTGGTGCTTTGGAGAAATACGGTGTTGAATTGATTGGTGCTAAGTTAGGTGCGATTAAGAAAGCTGAAGATCGTGAGTTGTTTAAGCAGGCGATGAAGAATATTGGTCTCAAGACTCCACCTTCAGGGATAGGGAACACACTCGACGAGTGTTTCGACATTGCAGAGAGAATTGGTGAGTTCCCTTTGATTATTCGTCCTGCGTTTACTCTAGGTGGTACTGGTGGTGGAATTGCGTATAATAAAGAAGAGTTTGAGTCGATATGTAAAGCGGGTTTGGCTGCTAGTGTGACAAGTCAGGTTCTTGTGGAGAAATCTTTGTTGGGTTGGAAAGAGTATGAGCTTGAAGTGATGAGAGATTTAGCTGATAATGTTGTCATTATCTGTTCTATTGAGAATATTGATCCTATGGGTGTGCACACTGGTGACTCCATCACTGTGGCACCGGCGCAGACGTTAACGGATAGAGAGTACCAGCGGCTTAGGGATTATTCCATTGCGATTATACGGGAGATTGGTGTTGAGTGTGGTGGATCTAATGTGCAGTTTGCGGTAAACCCGGTTGATGGTGAAGTTATGATCATAGAGATGAATCCTAGGGTCTCGAGATCTTCTGCTCTTGCTTCCAAGGCTACAGGGTTTCCCATTGCTAAAATGGCGGCCAAGTTGTCTGTTGGGTATACCTTGGATCAGATTCCTAATGATATCACAAAGAAAACACCGGCTAGCTTCGAGCCCTCCATTGATTATGTTGTGACAAAGGTTAGCCCTTCTTTCTTGTGCTTACTTTTAGCTGTTTTTGCGTTTCGAACTTAGATGCTCTGTACTTTGAAGATTTAGACACTTGCATTTAGTTGAAGATATATAAAATGTGTACTATGTAAACTACGCTGGGCTCGTTGGCTGATGCATATGTTCTTTTATCATGCAGATTCCTAGATTTGCATTTGAGAAGTTTCCAGGATCTCAGCCCTTGTTAACGACCCAGATGAAATCTGTTGGGGAATCTATGGCTCTTGGTCGCACATTCCAAGAATCTTTCCAGAAAGCTCTGAGGTCTCTTGAGTGCGGATTCTCGGGTTGGGGTTGTGCAAAAATTAAAGAACTAAATTGGGACTGGGATCAACTGAAGTACAGCCTTAGAGTCCCAAATCCGGACAGAGTCCATGCAATATATGCTGCCATGAAAAAGGGTATGAAAGTTGATGAAATCCACGAGTTGAGCATGGTAGACAAGTGGTTCCTAACCCAGCTTAAAGAGCTCGTGGACGTGGAACAGTATCTTATGTCCGGATCCTTGTCAGAGATTACAAAAGAAGACCTTTACGAAGTTAAAAAGCGAGGATTTAGTGACAAGCAAATCGCTTTTGCTACGAAGACAACCGAGGAAGAAGTCCGTACCAAGCGGATTTCTCTAGGAGTTGTTCCATCTTACAAGAGAGTAGATACATGTGCAGCAGAGTTCGAAGCGCATACACCATACATGTACTCGTCATATGATTCTGAATGTGAATCAGTCCCAAACAGCAAGAAGAAGGTTTTGATTTTGGGCGGAGGGCCAAACCGTATTGGTCAAGGGATTGAATTTGATTACTGTTGTTGCCATACATCTTTCGCCTTACAGGTCTGTCTCTAGATGTTCTCCAAAGCCAGTAAACATCAATTTCAACTTTGTTTCGTTAAAGTTACTTATATAATGTTTAAACTTAATTGCAGGATGCTGGATATGAGACCATAATGTTGAACTCAAATCCTGAGACAGTATCCACAGATTATGATACAAGCGATAGGCTCTACTTTGAACCCCTCACAATCGAGGACGTTCTCAATGTTATTGACCTTGAGAAACCCGATGGCATAATCGTGCAATTTGGTGGTCAAACTCCTCTGAAACTTGCTCTCCCAATCAAACATTATTTGGATAAGCACAAGCCCATGAGCTTGAGTGGAGCAGGACCTGTTCGCATTTGGGGTACGTCACCCGACTCCATTGATGCTGCTGAAGACAGAGAGAGGTTCAATGCAATTCTTAATGAGCTGAAAATTGAGCAGCCCAAGGGAGGTATTGCAAAGAGCGAAGCTGATGCATTAGCCATAGCAAAGGAGATAGGTTACCCGGTTGTGGTTAGACCTTCTTATGTTCTAGGTGGACGAGCAATGGAGATCGTTTATGATGACAGTAAACTTAAAACCTATTTGGAGAATGCGGTTCAAGTTGACCCAGAGAGACCTGTTTTGGTAGATAGGTATCTCTCTGATGCCATCGAGATCGATGTTGATACCCTTACTGATTCCTATGGAAATGTGGTGATTGGCGGAATAATGGAGCATATCGAACAAGCTGGTGTGCACTCTGGTGACTCGGCTTGTATGCTTCCAACACAAACCATCCCACCTTCTTGTTTGCAAACGATTCGGTCATGGACCACCAAATTGGCAAAGAAGCTAAATGTTTGTGGGCTGATGAACTGTCAGTACGCAATTACATCATCTGGGGATGTTTTCTTGCTCGAAGCGAATCCCAGAGCTTCCCGTACTGTCCCTTTTGTCTCAAAAGCCATTGGACACCCTCTTGCCAAGTATGCAGCGCTGGTCATGTCTGGAAAATCTCTCAAAGATCTCAACTTTGAAGAAGAAGTCATCCCTAAACATGTTTCTGTGAAAGAAGCAGTTTTCCCGTTTGAGAAGTTCCAAGGGTGCGACGTGATACTCGGGCCAGAGATGAGAAGCACTGGAGAAGTGATGAGCATCAGTTCTGAGTTCTCAAGCGCGTTTGCAATGGCTCAGATTGCTGCAGGTCAAAAGCTACCTTTAACCGGCACAGTCTTCCTCAGCTTAAACGATCTGACCAAACCGCACCTGGAGAAAATCGCGGTGTCCTTCATCGACCTCGGTTTCAAGATCGTTGCCACCTCAGGAACAGCTCATTTCCTGGAACTGAAAGGCATTCCCGTGGAGAGAGTATTGAAGTTGCATGAAGGAAGACCACATGCTGCTGATATGGTGGCTAACGGTCAGATCCATTTGATGTTGATCACAAGCTCGGGTGATGCTCTTGATCAGAAAGATGGGAGACAGCTCAGACAAATGGCTCTAGCCTACAAGGTCCCGGTTATAACCACTGTCGCTGGAGCCTTAGCCACTGCCGAGGGAATCAAGAGCTTGAAGTCAAGTGCCATTAAAATGACGGCTCTTCAGGACTTTTTTGAGGTAAAGAAGGAATCTTCTTTGCTCGTCTGAGTTGGTCTTTTTATTTACATGTTGGATCGTTCTGTGTGCAACTTTTTACGATTTCTATTAAATTTCAACGGATTTGGTTTCTCATAAGCATTTCGATGAAGAATCTTCAGAGGTCGATTTTCAAATGCAGTATAC